GCGCTGCAAAGCATCATATATGCAGTATATGATTGGGGGAGATTTCAATATCAAGTACGAGTCTATGGCTTCTCCAGTTTATGTCTATATATATACATCATTTAATTAATTAATTAATTAATAGTAATAAATATGTATATATGAGGCGCTGGGGGGCTCAGATTTTGGTTGCAGACCCTCCCCTTTTCGGACAAAAGCAAGTCGAAGGTCATCGATTACTTCGTCGCCGAATCGGAGTCGGCTAAGTTGGTCGCGTCTGTTTCAGCCGATTTGGATTGGCATGCTCGCCCACGCTTTCCTGTGCGCATAGGCTTGCCCGCTAGTGCGAATCAGGTGCGTATTTTGCAGTTCGACACGGTGTCGGCCTTATCGTGCGAGCTGCCTGAGGAAGAGAGCGAGATTGGAGACCCGCACGTCGAGTGGACGGATTTGCTGCAACGCGGCGAGGAGCTGCGCCTTCAGCTTCAAGGACAAACGGGCGCGAAAAAAAAAACACCATGAGTGAGGGGGGGGCCGGGAGTTTCACACGGGTATTGGGCACAGAGGGCGGAGAGGGAGGTGGCGGACATAACCAGGTCGACGCTCACCGAACCAGGCGTTCGCGGTCTCCTGCCCAAGCCTCGTCTCGCACCTGTGGTGCAGCGAGTTGCAGTTCACGAGTGCTTTGCAGCACTGGCGCGCGGCCCTGCTTGGCCAGCGTCTCGCATGCGACGTTTGCTGCAGCTGCTGGGCGCCTTATCTTCTACCTCCAGGCGGGGGGGGGGGGGCCTGGCTGAGCAAGCGCGACATCTTGTCCAACAATGCCGTAAGTTTGCCACCGCGAAGCCACATCATGCGCTGGAACATGCGAGTGCCAGTTAGAGTGTTCGAGCCATTCAAGATTTGGCTCGGCAAGTTCTCGCGCTTTTGGATTGGAATTCGGGCTTCGACCCTGGGAATCGAAACGGCATCGCCTTCGAGTTAGAACAGCTGCTTGGCTTGGTGGCCTGCTATGCAAGGTCTATCATTGCTGATTATCCTGAGAAGCATTGAGAAAGTTGGCAAGACAGGGTCGCTAAATCTATCAATAAAGGAGCGGGCCCAGCGCATCGTTTCTGTAAGAAGCAGGTTAAATGGGAACCAGAAGTTCTCGTTTTTGAAGGTGTTCGGTCTAACAATGTTGAGGCCCTTCTCGATGAGTACAATAGGGAATGCGCCAAGCCGTGGGAGGCGACGGCCGAGCCACATCACCGCATCACCGCGCAGCTGTTGCACAGCCAGCTTTGCCGCCCCCCATCAGTGGCTGCCTCGCAGGGCATCAGCAAGGCTTATTCGACCAGGTCCGCGGTCAGCCCGGGCGGATTCCACTGCAGGCATCTGTCAAGCATGACAGAAATGGGGGTGCAAATATTTATCTATCTCTTGGGAATTTCAGAATGTCTGGGGGAACTTCCCCCGAAGATTCAATGGGTTCTCATGGCGCTATTGCCGGGGGCCTCCAAGGGGCACCGTGCGATTGGTATAGTCAGTATGTTCTATCGAGTCTCTGGGAAGATCAGGATTCCACGCGCCAAATCATGGATGGAAAAATTTGATCACCATTGGTTCAGCCGTTGACCTGGAAGGCCCCCTATTGACGTTGTCCGGGGGCAGAGTGTCAGAAGCGAAGCATCCAGGGCCTCCAGCGAGGTCGCTGTAGGCCTCTTTTGGGACCTGGTTTCGTTTTCAAGCGTTTTGTGCGAGCCAGGCTGCTTCCCAGAGGCTTGGAGCTAGGTTTCAGTCCAACTTCGTTGCAGTTCCATCTTGCTGCGCATGGCTCGCGAGGTTTGTGGGATACAAGCGAGCAGTCTCGAAGGCCGCACGTGCGTTCCGTGGCATTGTTGCGGGCTGTTCGTTCGCCATAGTATATGTCAGGATCTACTGCTTCCAAGGTTCTCTCAGGAATACCTCTCTCAACTCGGCCATCGACTTCGATTTCTACCTGGGCGACCTCTCGCCCACCGCGTTCGGCGTGGGCAAGGATGCGTTTAAGTGGCTGGTTCAGGCCGCCAAGCAACTTGCAGCGATGATCAAGGGTGGGCTGGGCGCCACCTCGTCGGTCGATAAGTGCTCTCTTGTCGCCCCCTCGGCAGCGCTCGGCAGGAACATCCTGAAGGCCTCGGGAGCTTGGGCAGGGAAACAGCAGCAAATCACTACCGACCTGGGGTCGGATTTCAGAGCGGGCAAGTCGGTCACTGTTTCTAGAGACACCAACGGGGCCGAAATAATTCAGATAATGCAACGACGGGCTGTTCGATTGAAGCAGCTTGTTCGTGTCGCTGGTCGGGGAGCTCGCGAGTTCGTCGCCTGTGGGTTGTTGCCCGCGGGAGGTTTCGCCTCTTGTATTGAGGGGCTCTCCAACACCTACCTCGAGAGACTCAGAGCAATTGAGCTGTCGGCCACAGGGCCAAACTGTAATGGTAAAAACAGAGAGGTCACTTTCGTTTTGTATGAGTCCAAGGCAGGTGAGTGGTCTCTGGCGCCTGTGGTCCGTTGGGCTCAGGAAGTTTGGGCTGCAGGTATTGGTAAAGCCGCTCCCATGTGTGCCTTGGGTATTCTGCAGCTTGCAGGCCTTCGGGGGCAAATTGATCCCCGCTCTGAGCTCAAGTGCAATCAAGTTCGAGGACCTGCCGCAGCAGCAGCGGGCGCTCTTGACAGGATCGGCCAGTCGTTTCAAGGGCCCTTCGTGCTGCGCGCGCACGAGGGCAAGTTGCTTTCGCTCGCTGATGTCTCGCCCAAGCTTCTGGAGCACTGGCTTCGGGACTCGTGTGCTAGGATGTGGGAAATACAAGCAGCTAAGAATCTTCGCCATGCTCAGGACGTTCCCGGGGTGAGTTTGGATGTGGCCCGTAGGGCTCCCTGTGCTGCTGGTAAAGAAGAACTTTCCGCGGGGCAGGCGGCCCTCCGGATGGCTGTAGTTTGCCAAGCTTGTTGGACCACTAGTAGAGCCTCGTCTGCAGGCTATGCCATTCAGGACTGCTGCCCTTTGTGTGGGTGTGCAGGAGATACACTTGCGCGCGGGCTACTTCATTGCCAGGCCGAGGTTGTTGTTGCACTACGAAGCGAGCTACTCCCCGCAGAACTGTAAGCAACATGCCAAGATAATGCTGAGCATAGTGTAGCGCTGCTGCTAGGTATTATTCCTCACCCGTTCTCTGACCTTGATGCCTTCCCTCCTCCTGGCAGCGAATTTGCTTTAGATGTTAAGATTGTATGAGAAGAGAAGTCGGGGCGTCCGCGTTGTAAACTAGGGCCCCACACGGGCCCAGATGACACTTGCACCAGGTCTGGCTGCAAGAGTTTGGAAAGGGCTGCCTGGGCGGTCTGTGGGTTTTCGGAAGATCAGGAACTCGAATTCATTATATCGGGCCCAGTGGCTGTTCCCTTCCGAGAAAAACGCCCTGGGCCGCCGAGCACCTAGGATTTTTAGTTTGCAGCAGATGTTGACCAAATAATCCATTGCATATGTAGACTGTAAAGCGGTGCTCGATGGATATCGCAAGCCACTTACCGCAAGACTCCCATGCCGCAGTATGTACGCAGGCGCATTTCGGACGGCCCTAGGTAGTGACGGCAGACACTACTTAAAGCCCCGGCCAAAATCAAATCTCATCAGAGCGAAGATAAAGTTCGGCCTGAATAGATGTTACCATTTCAAACCAACAAGAACTGCTGTCAGTTTGCTAAGTCGGCCCTCCAGATGCACCCGTCGATTGACCCGTTGTCGGTGTTTTTGTTTGATGAGATGAGGGAGGACGCCACTAGCATTCTGAAGTTCACTCACAAGATTCTGGAGACATGGCCCAAGCATCCTAGGACCGAGAATACGTGAGTCTGATCAGTATAAGACCCAGCTCCAGCTAGTACATGACTGGCAACGAGCTGATTATGTAGCGTGGAGATGTGCTGCTTGTTTCACTTTCAGCCATTCTGATGATGCCGTCTCTCGACGGCGCAATGCACCGTGCGCTCCTTTTTCGGGCGAGTTTCGAGAGCGCTTAAATGAGGTGCACTCCTCCCGCGCCCTTTCTGTTGGCACGTGTGGCGATGACCTGTTGGTTTTCTGTGCGGGGTGCGGCAAGCATGCAACTTTTGTTTCCGGAGGCTTTCTGGAGGAATGCAAAGGGCCGCCAAACAGTGGCTCGAGACGCGCTTCCCTCAGGAGTCTGCTCGATGGTCTGCGTCCCGTCGACGGGATGCCATTTAACGATATCGAGCATGTTCAGGCATTCCAGAGACACCAGAAGGCCGGGGCCTCCAGCTCCAGAGGCTGAAGGCCATTGGGTTCGCCGACCACGGAGCGGCGCACCTTCTGCCCATGAGTGAAAGCGTGGGCAGGATCACGGCAGCCCAACGCGCAGAAGCACGGCAGAACTCGCGAGAGCACAGCAGAACACGCAGGGACACGGCAAAACACGCGGGAGCGCGGCAGAACCCAAATAACACACGGGAGCACGGCAGAACAAACAGGAGCACAGCATAACACCCAGGAGCACGGCAGAACACACAGGAGCACGATGATCACGGCAGAACACACAAAATGCATCGGAGCATGGCAAAACACGCTGGAGCACGGCATAACGCGCAGGTGCACGGCATAATGCACATAACACAGAACATACAGGAACACGGCAGAACATGCAGGAACACGGCAGAACACGCAGGAGCACGGCAGAACGCAGGAACAGGACGAGCACGGCAGAGCACGGCAGAACAAGCAGGAAAACGGCATAACACACAAAGCACATAGGAGCACGGCAGAACAAGCAGGAGCGCGGCAGAACACACAGGAGCACGTCAGTACACGTAGGAGCACATCCGTAGCCATTTTGGCTCAAGGCCATGGAGTGCCCGACGACCGCGAGTCGTGCGCGGCGCTCTGAGCGCGAGGGCCTCCGCGCTTTGGGCCAGTGCAAATTCTTGTTGTTGTTCGTGCTCTCACAGCGTGGGGACGTTGCCCAGCGGGCAGCGCGTCTGGCGCCATGGCGAGGTCCCAGCGTGGCGGCAGCAGTGGCAGACGCAGCAGGGCCTATTGGATGTGCAGCTGCGGGTGCTGGAAGTGGGACTGGCGCTCCACGTGCCTCAGCTGTGGGTATGCCGCACCGCCCTGGGCTACGGAGGCACCCCGCGGCAAGGCGAAGCCCGAGGCTGACAAGGACGGCTGGGTGGACCAGCCTCGGGGGCGTCGAACCCAGCGGCAGGCCCGCAGCGCGGCGTCGCGCACGGCATCCACCAAGTCGCAGACCTCGGCTTCGGCGGCGAGTGGGGCGCCCAGCAACGGAGGAGCAACGGCGATCGAGAGGCTGCGGGCAACGGTCGAGCGGCTTGAGGCGCTGCAGGCTGGGCCGCCAGACGGCGTCGACAGCTGCTTCACGGAAGTCGTGGCCAACCTGCTGGAGGCGAAAAGGGCAGAGCTGGCCATCGCCCAGAAGGAGGCAGCGGAGCAGCTCTGCTGCACAAGGAGGCGAACGCCATCAGCAAGGAGGAGAAGCGGCTCCGCGCAGCCCGCCAGGCTCTCGATCAGAAGCAGGCGGCGCGGGACCTCGCGGAGGTCCAGCTGCAGAAGGCCCAGGACGAGCTCGCGGCGCTCGACGGCGAGGTGGAGGAGGCCAGCAAGGCGCTCCAGGTCCTCGAGGAGGCAGCCCGTGAAGAGGCGGAGGAGCGGCGGCGCCAGCGCGCAGCCGAGTGGGCTGGAGCTAGCCACGTGCCAGGGCTCCTCACGCAGCTGGACAAGCTGCCAGAAACCTGGGGCTCCAGCAACTTTGAGGTGGCATGAGCGGCCATACGTACCCAGGTGGAGGCGGTGCGGGCGCAGCTCGCGGTGCCCCCGCCAGCACCCGAGCGAGCGCCTTGGGCCGAGTCCTGCCCCATGGACGAGATCAGCAGCGACGATGGCGAGCTCGCGGGCAGCGGCGTGCCTTGGCCGCCTCAGGCCGCAGCGGAGCGCGGCCAAGCCGAGCGGCACGGCAGGGCGCGCGGGGAGTGGCCGCAGGTGTCCCAAGCATGCAAGCGAGAGCTGGTCGCTGAGGCCGCGGACCTGGCCCCTCTGGCTGCTCGCCCTGCTGGCCAAGCAGCTGGGAGCAGCGATGGAGGAGTGTAGCCGAGGCAGGTGTGCGCCCAGCTGGGCCAGTGCGGCGGGGCAGGGTCCGTGCGCGAGCGGCAGTGCCGAGGGGGAGGCGCTGCCCCAGCCCCTGGGCGCCCATGCTGCCATGCCGGTTTTCGTTCCCCAGCCTGACGAAGGAGTCCGACCGATTGCGAACGGCCCACTGCCCATGCGCATTTGGGGCAGCCCGAGGCAGCCCACCAGCGTGCTGTGGGAGGCGGAGCACGATCACCGCCTCTTTGGGAGCAAGATGGCCCGCAAGTTTTTCAAGGCAGGCTGGCGGTGCAGCGTCCGTGCAGCCGTTGCCGCCTGTGTGCGAGTGAGGGGTTGTGCCACCGCCAGCCTCTGCCTGGACATCACCAGGCTCTACGAGAACCAGCGGCACGCCTCCTTGTGGAGGTGCGGAGTCGAGCATGGCTTCGACCTGTGGGCACTTCGAGGCATGCACGTGCTCTACCAGGCGGGAGCTGGAGAGCGCAGGGCTGGAATCTCTTCTGTAAGACCTTGCAAGCCAGGAACCTCTTCATGGGCGCCGCCCCTGCGGGACGTGAAATGCATGAGGACCGAGTGCGAGACCCTGGAGCCGTGTGCCGTAAGCGTGGGCTGCCCCCGCAGTCGGCACCCTAGTGGACCGCAGGGGACGCCGCCGCCCAGCGCGCCGTGGAGAGGCCTCAGCCCGCATCAGACGGCCAAGGATAGCGAGGACTTCACGGTGTGGATGCTCGCCACCTTTGCAGGGCCAATGGTTGAGGAGGCCAACTCTGACGGCAGCTCCACCGTGACCTGCCTACGCAGCAGGGCCACTGCCCATCTGAGGGGCAGGACCCTGGAGTACCTCGAGCCAGGAACCTTCGAGGAGGAGAAGGTGCCAGCCCACTGCTCGAGGCAGGCCGTGCCTGGCGAGCTCCTGGCGGAAGCCCATCGGCGTGACCTCGAGCACGCTGATCGCCTGGCCAAGGTGGGTGCCCAGATGCATGCGGTGGACAGGCAAACTGGTGGCGAGCACCACGCGCTGGCGGAGACCGTGCTGGAGCTCAGGCGCTGGAACTGGCGGGCAGCCATCTTCTGGCAGAACATCGTGGCCAAGGACTGTGAACGGCTCCCTCATGCAGCTGAGCGGCGCCAGGTACGTTTCGCTGCTGCAGTGGCTTTGCAGGCGGCAGAGGAGGCCGCTAGCGCAGAGCCGAGGGCCAGGCGGCCGCGCCTGGAGAGCGCACGCTCGGCTGGCAGCAGCTCAGCAGCCCGCTCGGCCAGCGCGGTAGCCTGCAGCAACCTGGGACGCGCCCTCTCCTACACCTGCACTGGAGAAGGTGACGAAGGGCCAGAGCTCTTGGCGTGCACCAAGTGCGACACCTACGTGACGTTGGGAGGTCGCGCGGAGCGGTGCCCAGGCGACAAGGCCACAAGGGGGCAGGACCCATCCCAGCTTCTGGCTTCGAGGACCCCATCCTGGCGGCAGGAGACAGGAAGAGTCCCGAGCAGCCAGGCACAGAGTGAAAGGAGAGGGCATCCTTGCTCGGCGCTCGCAGGGATCACTGCCCGAGATTGCGCAGGAGCGGTACCTGGTGTGGCTTGCATCGCAGCGGAGCACAGCTGCCGACCCCTCGGCTGCGGCGAGCACCGCAGGCAGCGCACCTGCTGCGGCCGCGGCGCCCGTCGAGGTGGGGGCCGCCGCCAGCCTGCCTCTGCGGCACCCAGCAGCGGCGAGGGCTGGCCTCACAGGGGCCATCGCAGTCACGGAAGAAGGGCCCGCCGCCGCACGGCGCGCCTTGGCCGCCAGCAATGAGTGAGTGAAAGTGCATCGTTGTGGCCCGCGCCAGCTGCTCCACAGTGCGAGTAGGCTTCCGCCGCCCACGGTGCCCGCCTGGACTCGGCTTCTTTCGGGGCGCGGGCCCCATCTGGCCCTGTCTTCGGTTTTTTGCCTATGTGGGAGCTCCTGTGTTTTGTCGCAGTGGAGTTCCCGTTGGGCGGTGGCCCAAGGCAGCCCCGCTGGGAGGCCGAGGGGCGGCCCAAGGTGGCCCCCTCGGGTGGGTGGCCCTGCGGGGCCCCCCGCGAGAGGCGGCCCTAGGCGGCCCCTCTCGGGTTTGCGTGTCTGGCCTTTTGGCCCACCACTCCGCCTTGATGGCCCCGTCTTTAACTTTAACTTTAACGCGTAGGAGCACGGCAGAACACATGGATGCACGGCAGAACTAGCGGCAGAACGCGCAGGAGCACGGCAGAATACGCAGGAGCACAGCAGAACACACAGGATCACGAGGATCACGGCAGAACACGCAGAGTACATAGGAGCACGGCAGAACAGCCAGCAGCACGGCAGAACTCACAAGAGCACGACAGAGCACACAGGAGCACGGCAGAACACATAGGAGCACGGCAGAGCAGGACCATGGCAAAATACACAGGAGCGCGGCAGAACCCGCAGAAACACGGCAGAACGCGCAGGAGCAAGGCAGAACACAGATAACATTTATTCACACAGCCGCACCCACAGGCACACGCACATAGGCCCACGAACATAGGCACACGCACATAGGCACGCGCACACGCGCGCGCGCACACGCACGCGCACACACACACACACACACACACATACACACTCGCACACACGCGCGCGCACAGAGAGGCAACATGCATTCACGCAGACCGCAGGAGCACGGCAGGGCAGCACGGCATAACACAGCAGTGCCGCATACCACCACGCACGAAAACACATGCACTGATTCCACGCACGCACGCGCACGCGCAAACGCGCGCACGCCTCGACAGACTTGCGCAGCGCATACTAAGAACGTAAGATATTGCATAAGCCCAAGACTCCAGAGGACGCTTCCCGTTTCTGTCCGGCCAGGTTCGCTCTCTTGATTAATTTGGGGATCGTTCTATCGCTCGATACCTCCTCGCGATTCATGCAATATTCACGCTTCAACGACCCGCCTGCTCGACCTGGCCGCCTGGGCCCGCCTTCCGACCCGCGCATCAGGGTTTTCCCACCCGATTTGCCCGTCTGGTTCTGCCGCGTGTTTTGTGTTCCTGACCCCCCTCCTGCTTGTCTGTCTCGTGCTCCATCCTGCTAACGCCCCCTTCCATTTGTCCCCTCGCCCCCTGTTATAGGGGCTTCGCGAGTCACGCGCGGCATGCAAGGAAGATATGCCCCCATGGTGGGCGCGCTCGAAGACGAAGAGGGCAGGTGCCGAGGGTCTGGGATATACGTATCGGCTGGCGCGCGAGCAGATGAGAGCTAACAGTCTGAAACTGATTGCTTCGTTGTTAGTGTTGTAGTATTCAAGTGATTACGATGATTATTATTGTTAGTACTAGTCATAGTAGTAGTAGGAGTAGCAGTGGTAGTAGTAGTAGTAGTAGTAGTAGTAGTAGTAGTAGTAGTAGTAGTAGTAGTAGTAGTAGTAGTAGTAGTAGTAGTAGTAGTAGTAGTAGTAGTAGTAGTTAGTAGTAGTAGTAGTAGTAGTAGTAGTAGTAGTAGTAGTAGTAGTAGTAGTAGTAGTAGTAGTAGTAGTAGTAGAAGTAGTAGTAATAGTAGTAGTAGTAGTAATAGTAGTAATAGTCGTCGTCGTCGTCGTCGTCGTCGCCGTCGTCGTCGTCGTCGTCGTCGTCGTCGTCGTCGTCGTAGTAGTAGTAGTAGTGGTGGTGGTGGTGGTGGTGGTGGTGGTAGTAGTAGTGGTAGTAGTAGTAGTAGTAGCAGTAGCACTGGTAGTGTTAGTAGCAGTAGTAGCAGCAGCAGTAGTAGTAGTAGTAGTAATCGTAGTAGTAATCGTAGTAGTGGTAGTAATAGTAGTAATAGTAGTAGTAGTAGTAGTAGTAGTAGTATTAGTAGTAGTAGTCGTAGTAGTAGTAGTAGTAGTCGTCGTAATAATAGTCGTAGTAGTAGTCGTAGTCGTAGTCCTAGTAGTAGTAGCAGTAGTTATAGTAGTAATAGTAGTCGTAGTAGTAGTAGTCGTAGTAGTCGTAGTAGTAGTCGCAGTAGTAGTCGTAGTAGCAGTCGTAGTAGTATTAGTAGTAGTACGAGTAGTAGAAGTAGTAGTAGTACTCACCCTTTACGAAACTTATTCATCTTGAGCACTGACGACTAGGGCGTCTCTGAGCCCCCCCCCACCCCCCCTTCCCCCCGTAGACTCCTAGCACGGCAGTCTTCGGCCTGGCTGGGCGGGGAAGGTTTCCGGGGTTCTCCCTGGTAACATTAATAGTATATAACAAATTCAGGATAAAATTTTCCCCCCGTAAATTCACAAAGGAGAAATCACTCCCGGCCACTTCCAGGCAACTCTGCATCTCTCCCCGTATGAAGCCACAAGGAAGAATCACTCCCAGACCACTTCCCACCACAGCGCCCACACATGTCAATGTTAGCCAAGATGAATTCACTTTCGTAACGGGGATGAGGACCCACGACTTTATCACAGGTCAATGTCAGCCAATGTCATGATGAACCCAAATTCGAAATCCGAACGGGGCCCAGCATCGCGCTCGATAGACACGTCGCCATCATCATTGCCGCCGCTGCTTCGCTGCCACGACTTACTGCGCATCAGAGTTGCCCCGATTTCGAGCCCCGCCCTGGGCGGGGCCGACCGTCTGTCGTTTACGTTCGCGCCTGAGGCGGATGCGGATTTCGCGCTCGCGTCGGGGCAGCGTCCTTTGCGGCGTCGCCATCGGGCTTCCAGCGGTACTGTGTGCACTCGGCGTGCCAACTCCTGCATGATTGCGTCTTGGCGAAGCGTCCCGTCCTGGGCAAGATGGCCTACAAAGCGCGCGCGAGGCGGGTGATTAAGTCGGCGAAGTCGCAGACCGTGGCAGGCAACGTTGCCAAGGGTCTGCGGGGCACGTGCAAGCGCGTTGTGGCAGCCAAAGGCGTTGCTGTCAAGAAGTAGCGCTGGTCTCACCCTTGTAGAAGTGCAATGTAAAATACCGAAATCCGAAACGGGGCCCAGCATCGCGCTCGATAGACACGTCGCCATCATCATTGCCGACACTGCTTCGCTGCGACGACTTACTGCGCATCAGAGTTGCCCCGATTTCGAGCCCCGCCCTGGGCGGGGCCGACCGTCTGTTGTTTGCGTTCGCGCCTGAGGCGGATACGGATTTCGCGCTCGCGTCGGGGCGGCGCCCCTTGCGGCGTCGCCATCGGGCTTCCAGCGGTACTGTGTGCACTCGGCGCGCCAACTCCTGCATGATTGCGTCTTGGCGAAGCGTCCCGTCCTGGGCAAGATGGCCTACAAGGCGCGCGTGAGGCGGGCGATTAAGTCGGCGAAGTCGCAGACCGTGGCAGGCAACGTTGCCAAGGGTCTGCGGGGCACGTGCAAGCGCGTTGTGGCGGCCAAAGGCGTTGCTGTCAAGGGGCAGCGCTGGTCTCACCCTTGTAGAAGTGCAATGTAAGATACCGCTCGCCCGTTACGAAAGTTATTCATCTTGAGCACTGACGACTACAGCGTCTCCGAGTGCCCCCCCCTTCCCCCCGTAGACTCCCAGCACGGCAGTCTTCGGCCTGGCTTGGCGGGGGAGGTTTCCGGGGTTCCCCCTGGTGACACTAATAATATATAACCAAGTCAAAATGAAATCTCTCCCCCGAAAATTCACAAGGGAGAAATCACTCCCGGTCACTTCCAGGCAACTCTGAATCTCTCCCCGTATGAAACCACAAGGAAGAATCACTCCCATACCACTTCTCACCACAGCGCCCACATATGTCAATATTAGCCTAGATAACTTAACTTTCGTAACGGGGATGAGGACTCACGACTTTTTCACACGTCAATGTCAGCCAATGTCATGAGGAACCCAAATTCGAAATCCGAAACGGGGCCCAGCATCGCGCTCGATAGACACGTCGCCATCATCATTGCCGCCGCTGCTTCGCTGCGACGACTTACTGCGCATCAGAGTTGCCCCGATTTCGAGCCCCGCCCTGGGCGGGGCCGACCGTCTGTTGTTTGCGTTCGCGCCTGAGGCGGATGCGGATTTCGCTCTTGCGTCGGGGCAGCGCCCCTTGCGGCGTCGCCATCGGGCTTCCAGCGGTACTGTGTGCACTCGGCGTGCCAACTCCTGCATGATTGCGTCTTGGCGAAGCGTCCCGTCCTGGGCAAGATGGCCTACAAGGCGCGCGTGAGGCGGGCGATTGAGTCGGCGAAGTCGCAGACCGTGGCAGGCAACGTTACCGAGGGTCTGCGGGGCACGTGCAAGCGCGTTGTGGCGGCCAAAGGCGTTGCTGTCAAGGGGCAGCGCTGGTCTCACCCTTGTAGAAGTGCAATGTAAGATACCGCTCACCCGTTACGACAGTTATTCATCTTGAGCACTGACGACTAGGGCGTCTCCGAGTGCCCCCCCCCTTCCCCCCGTAGACTCCTAGCACGGCAGTCTTCGGCCTGGCTTGGCGGGGAAGGTTTCCGGGGATCTCCCTGG